AAAAAAAAATGACAAACGTTACATATCAATTGTTCTCTACGTGTTCTCATATTCTTGGTCTTTTCCTCAGACATTTCTTTCATCGTCAACCCTCGTACATTTTCGTTTATATTATTTCTCCATAACTAATATAACAATAATAATAACACTAAGTTAGAACTTAGAAATGAGAGACAAGAACAAATTTCGAGCTAATTTTAAACTATCATTACAATTATAAAGATACCTAAAACAAATAATACATAAAAAATGCACAACAAATAAGAAATAACATTTAAGATGCTATTTTATCAAAATCATGAAAGCCCTAAATTAAAAATTACATCAATTTTGACAATTCCCAAATACAAATTTAGGGTTATAAAAATTAGAAAACAATTAAATAAAACATACTTTTTGAAATAAAAATTGATAGCCAACTGAGGAAGTAGAACTTCAAACCACTTTGATTATTGAAAGATTTCTTTTTTTTTTTTCCTGTAATTGCACTCAAATTTTGTAATACAGCCGTCTGCGGGAGGAAGTAAAAGAAGAGGAAGGGGAACAGAGTATGAGATGAGTTAGTGAGTTATGGCTTTTTGCTGGGGTGTGAGGAAAAAACTTAGCTTGTTGTACTAGGGGGCCCACAAAAAAAGTTAAACACAATTCAAATATATTATATATATATATATATATATATATAAATGTTTTGAAAGTCCTCACACCACATTGGCATGTGCCCCTGCGGGCCCCTCTGTGGTCCGCCCTTGAGTAGGCCTATCCATCTTCTTATGCATAGGTCTTCCGACCTATGTTCTATCCGAGCTATCGGAGTACTGGCATGCCATCCGAGCTACCATGTTGTCTCAGCTACTGGAGTATACACATGTTATTCGAGCTACCTTGTAATCTGAGCTAATAGAGTCCTAATAAACATACTGTCCGAGCTAACTTCAAGAGAATTCCTCCGAGCTATTTTAACCCATTTTATCCGATCTACCCTATGACCGATTTACTCGAGCTAAAGGAGACCGGTTCAATTGAGCTATTACATATGTTATAAATCAAGCTGATTCGGGTTGTACTCATTATTTTAATTTATATATAGTTTTATTTATGGTTNAAGAATAAACCCCATTCCCCTTTTCTTTTCTCATCTTATTTTGTTGTAAAGAAGTAAGAAACACAGCAGAGGACGTGCAATAAAGCACACCCCGAAAGCCAATTCCTTTTCCGCTCTTTCGTGGCCCTTTTCTTCTACTGATTCCCTCAAAAATTGCGCCGAGAACTTAGTCCGATCAGGCAATAATCATGCGTTTAGCAGACAGATGAAGGTATTCCACATATTTCGTCACTTATCGACCACTGTCAAGTTCTGAGTTTGGCGTCAGATTTAATAATCCTGGATTTACCGAATTGACAGCTCCTTTTCCGATAAGGTGCTTTGTCTTTGTTAATTTCCGAGGTCTGATGCATGAAAATGGAAAGGAGTACAAAATCAGGAGTGTTGAAGAAGAAAAGTCCTTCGGGATGTTTGATTGTCAAGAAGAAAATTGGGAATGAGAATTCAGGAGGGGGCTCAGGGGGTCTGGGTGGCGATTTTAAGGCAGAAAACAGGGATAGGTTGGTTGAAACTGATTCGGGCTTGGGCCCGAGCTCCAGGTCGGGGTCGAGTGATGAGGATGTGCCATTGGAGTTTATGAGGCGAAAGGTTAATGAGAGGAAGTTGAATAATAGTTTGAAATCTCATAAAAGAGATAATCTTGAAGACAGAGAGTACGGTGGGGACAGTGTTGGTACTGACATTAGTAATGAAAGGAAAAGGTGTAGGTTGGAGTTGTTTGATTTTGACGAATATGACGAATTTGAACCTAAGAAGATGATGAATTCGTATTTCGAGAATAGGTTTAAGACTATTGAGCAGAAGTACAGCAGGAATGTGAAGGAAGTTGGTTCTGGCTCATCTAATGGGAATATTCGAAATACTGGTAGTAGAAGTCAAAGAGGGTGGAAGGATGAAAATGTGAAGAATGAAAAAAATATCGCACTGGTTGAGGATGGAGAAGAAATGCCCATTTCGATTTTAAAGTCGAAGTTTCAGAAAACGGCTGGCGAGCAAATCAGGAGGCAGGGGAACAATGGGGTTTTGAAGGTTATGGTGAAAAAGAAGAAAAAGGTGGATTTTCCTTCTCAGACTAAAAATGATGACTCTTTTGACCTTAAAGAAAGAAAAGGTTCGATATCTGATGATGTAGCCAAGGACTTGTTCGCTGACAATGGGACAAGTGCTGAGAAAAAGAAAGTGGAGAAGATAAAAGGAGGCATAATAGTATATAAATCGAAGAAAAGGATGAAAAATGAGGAAGAAAGATCTTCACCTCCAAAGAATCCGACTCCTCTGAAAGGTAAAGAAGGAAAAGAAAGCAAAGCCCAGCGTAGTGGGAGTACCGAAAAGCAAAAGCTGCGTGAGAAGATTAGAAGGATGTTAGTTAATGCTGGGTGGACTATAGATTATAGACCAAGGCATAATCGAGATTATCTAGATGCTGTCTACATTAACCCTGGTGGGACAGCCTACTGGTCTATTACAAAGGCTCATGACGCACTTAAAAAACAGTTAAAAGATGAAGATGGAAAACATAATGTGGAACTGGGATCCCCATCGTTTGCACCTCTATCCGAAGATCTCATTAATAAACTTACAAGACAAACCAGAAGGAAAAAAAAGGATGGAATCAAAAGGAAAAGAGAAGAAGATAAGTTTGACGAGACCTTAGATAGCGATGAAAATGATGTTGATTCAATTGAAGGTTCCCCAAAGAGGAAGAGAGACAAAGTTAGAGTTGACAGGTCATCCAAGGGTTTGAACTCTAAAGCAATAGAAAGGTGTACCCTTATGGTCCGTTGTCATGATAATGGGGATAGCTCGGATTCTGATGGATATATTCCATATTCTGGGAAGAGAACTGTCTTGACCTGGTTGATAGACTCTGGGAAAGCAAGCTTACGTGAGAAGGTGCAGTATATGAACCGTAAGAGGACTCGGGTCTTGTTAGAAGGGTGGATCACAAGAGATGGTATCCACTGCAGCTGTTGCAGTAAAATTCTTACTGTGTTAGAGTTTGAGGTGCATGCTGGTAGCAATTTGCGCCAGCCATTTCAGAATATATTCTTGGAGCCTGGTCCATCCCTTTTGCAGTGCTCACTTGATGCCTGGAATAGTCAGGATAAATCTTTGCTTCGGGATTTCTTCAGGGTTGATGTTGATGGTGATGATCCGGATGATGACACGTGTGGAATTTGTGGGGATGGGGGTGATCTTATCTGTTGTGATAGTTGCCCTTCGACCTTTCATCAGATCTGTTTGGAGATGCAGGTTTTCGTTGGATGGATTTATGGTGTAAAAAGCTGTGGGTGTTATTATTCTTTTCCTAGTATGACATTTTTATTCTTCGTTGTGTGTATTCTTGTAAAGTTACTATTGAAATTCCTTGTGTATTTCCCTACTTTTGCAAGTATGATTTGGATCTTGGGTTTCTTTTCTTTTCCCTGCTCCTTATCGCTGGTCGTGTGTGTGTTCAGATTTTTGCCTCCTGAATATGTTAACGGCTGCTCTTGCTCTTCTTAGGGCGTAAGCTTAAATCCTGTTCAAACTATTGTGGTTTTCTAATACTGTGTCATGTGAAACAGGCTTAATTATTTTTTTATTTATTATATTGGTTTATCCTCTTTGTATGCAGGAGCTTCCTTCAGGGGATTGGCACTGTTCAAACTGTACTTGCAAATTTTGTGGCAGTGTAAATGTTTTTGAAGAAAATGAGAGTGCTGGGGATGAACTTAACGGATGCAGCTTCTGTGAGAAAAAATGTAAGTTATAGTTTTTACAAGGTTGGAGTTTTATGTGTATTTTTATTTTCTCTCCTTCTCACGCCTTCTCTCAGAAATATGAAAATGCAATTTTCGCATTTTTCTTCGATATTACTATCGTGATAATTCTATATTATTATTTTTTTTCTAGATCACAAATCATGTGGTGAAAAGGCGGGTGCTCCACCTTTGAGTTCAGGAGGTGCATCTTTCTGTGGGGTGAAATGCCAAGAGGTATTGGGCATAGTAGGTTTTGTTTGAATAGCTAGTCCACGATGAAATGGTATACCCTAACCTCAGCAATATATGTTTTTCTTTACAATATGCAAAAGGGAGTATGCATGACTGGAATTATTTTCTCTAACATTTTAATTTTGGAGCTTAAAAAAATGAGAGAAGTCTAAACCATGCATCAGGTCACTGTTTGTCATCTTCTTTTGATCTCTATGCTCATATTTTTTCTTAAAAAAAAAAAAGCACCACTGGCTTTTAGGGGACGCCATATTCTACATATGTATTTTACTATTATGTATAAACCTTTATGGGCCTGGCTACATCTTGTTCAACATATTGTGAATCATACTTTATGTAACTGCTATTTTGTATTTGCAGCTCTATGATCATTTACAGAAGATCCTTGGAGTTAAACATGAATTGGAAGCAGAATTTTCATGGTCTCTTATTCAACGAAAAGACATATCTGATACTTCTCAGTGTGGATTTCCACTAAGGGTGGAGTGCAACTCTAAGCTAGCTGTTGCATTATCTGTCATGGATGAATGTTTCTTGCCCATTATTGACAGGAAGAGTGGGATAAATTTGATTCATAATGTTGTCTATAATTGTGGGTAAGGTGTACTTGACCAAAGCTAATGAGGAATACATGTGTGATTTAGTTTTCTTTGGCCTCGTTCTCTGTTACGGACAGATCTTGCATATCTTGTGAAATTGTGTTGTTCTGGTTTTATGCAAACCATGTTTTTACAACAGTCTTCAAGGAGTTCCATAGCTTTCTAGTATAATTGCTAGTTATGCGTAATCTCTTGTGACTCAGTTGCCCATAGGCATAGCTCTTATTCTAAGCTTTTTCTTTCTAATATGATTTAGTCTGGCCTTTTACCAAATTAATGAGATTTTAAGGAAAGGGATTCAATTTCTTAATAATCACTAATTGCAAGCATATAAATATTTCACATGCTTTGTTTTTGTAATATACCTATTAAAATATCGCTCATTTGTGATTTCACTTCTTCAATACTTGCTACTGTTTTCTTTTTTATTAGTAACAACCCCCGAAGCTTCATACACCCACACGAATGCACTTCCTAACTAGTTTTTATTGGCTGCCCAATGAGTCGTCCAGTTGCTTATTTATCTGCCCACTGCCTATAATATACCAGTTTGCATTTTCATCCTTTTTTTCATTGTGTCTTCCACCCACACCCCCCCTTTATCTGAGTGGCACATGCACACACACAGACAAATAAATAAATATTTATAACTTATCCTATCAGGCCTTCTTTTGCAGATCAAATTTTAACCGGCTGAATTATCGTGGATTTTATACGGCTATTTTGGAGCAGGGTGATGAAATAATATCTGCGGCATCTATCAGGTCGTAATACAATGCTGCTTGTTGGCCTTCTCTGTAGGTTATCTTCTGGGTTTTAGTGGCTTAGCATAATAAATATATGAACTATTGGTTTCAGTTCTAATGACTGACAATTTAAAGCCATCTGATCATATTTTCATTTCACTTGTTAGGTTTCATGGTGACCGTTTGGCTGAGATGCCATTTATTGGGACTCGTGCGATCTATAGGCGTCAAGGAATGTGCAGACGCCTTTTATCCGCCATTGAAAAAGTAAGCATATTGGCTTTATGTTTCGCGCTTGTTGGCAATGCATCAGTTATTGCTTTTCTATTCGCTGTTATTTTTTCATCTTCGAAACTGGAAAGTGAGGCCAACTTGAATATTTGACTTCTGGACTAATGAATTATTTTCATTATTATTTTTTTTTTTTTGCTGGACTTGTGATAATAATATCTACTTTTGTTGTTCCAGGAACTTTCTTCCCTTAAGGTTGGACAGTTGATTATTCCCACCATATCAGAGCATATGAACACGTGGATTAGGGATTTTGATTTCCAAAAACTTGAGGACGTACACAGGAAAGAAATAAAGTACATGAACATGTTGTTGTTTCCAGGGACAGATTTGCTACAGAAACAGTTATTGAAGCAAGAAAACTCTGATGGTAAACATTTTCTTTTGTTGGCCAATAATTTATTCTTTCTGTTTTATTATCAGCCGACCAACTCACCCAAGTGAGGTCCTTCCCAGCCTTCTCTACCAAAGAGGAGATGAAGATCGGGGATTCAAATTATTGCCTAGTGCTTTACTTACCTTAGGATTCAAAGTTTTTAAGAAAGATAAGGAAAAACTTATGTTAAGCTGTGAGAAGTTGAGCTATCTTTTTTCCTCATAATATATATCTATTATGGCAAAACCTGCTCTCGAGGTTTAGCTTAACTACTGAAATTTGAAATACCCCCTCTTGTAGAGGGGTGATGACTGATGATACATTTAAACCCTTTTTGGTGTTCGCGTAATTTCATTTACCTGATAATTATTATCCTGCTGGAGAATGCAATTTGTAAATATTACGAGTTATTTCTAATTTTGAAACAATAGTTGTTTCTACTTTCTTCAATTAATCTGAGTTTTGGCAAAGTTTTGTAGCCTGATAAATGGACCTTGGTAGCAATCATCCCAAAAGTAAGCTCAAAAACACTTATAAACAATAATACAGCCTAGTAACTTATCTATGTGGGATAAACATAAACTTGTAACATACCTTGAGATACTTTCTTTTTTCTTGTCTAAGCTTTGTATCTTTTGACATCCGATTTCACCTTTACTTCCTAACAACAGGCGTGAAGGTCTCTGACTCAATGAACAATCAACCTCGCTTGCCCATTTTAGTCGAAAAGCCCGAAAAACAGGCAAACAATGATTCTGTTCACACCCAGGAAGCAACACCCCACAAACCCGAGATTGAAATCGAGCATGAAGAATTGACCGACTACTTGAAATGCTCCCCTATTCCAGCTGAAACCAATCCGTGCCAAGTCAAAGCTCCTTCCACGGATTCTGTTAGTGCCGTCACTTTAGATAGTTCAAAACCTGAAAATGCTTTGGTTCATGTCGAGATTGTTGAAGATGCTGGCCTAACAAAAACCAAAGATAAAGGTTGTATGAATCTCTTCCTGATACAGACACAGTCGATGGGAAATATTTAAGTTTTACGTAAAACCCCTTTGTATTGGCTAACAAATTCCTCTTTCTTGAGTATTTGATTATCAAGAGTAATAAATGTCAAGTGAGTACTGTGATTCGAGTAAATAGTTGGGTGTTTTTCTCTTTGAAAGTAGAAAGGCAAAATCTTATGGTAGTTTTGGTAATCAACCATAATATATTTTTCTTTTCTTTGTCTCTGCCTCTCATTTCACCTTCATTTTTCAATGGCAGGCAATAAGGGCTCTGACTCAACTAACAATCAACCCCGGTTGCCCATTTCTTCTGGAAAGGAAGATAAACAGGCGAGCAGTGATTGTGGGCCGTGTCTCGAGCCCAAGGCTAACAGCAAAGTCGAAACAGTAGATTCTGGTTCTGCATCACCAACCATATCTTCAATGACTACTCGTGAGGAAGATAAAGCAGCACCTTCTTCTGTTTTAGGCGCTAATAGTGAACCTGAGATTATTCTTAAGACCCAAGAGGAAACTTATGTCAAGCTAGAGATTGAAATTGATCAAAAAGGATTTTCAAAACACTCGAAATGCTTCCCAAGTCCTGCTGAAATCAATGCTCACGAAATTGAAACTCATTCCGTGGACTCTGTTAGTGCCGTTACTGTAGAAAGTTCAAAATCTGAAAATGCCGAGGTTAATGTCGGAATTTCTAAAGATGCTGGCCTTACTAAAACTGAAGAAGTTTGCAATGAATCTCTTCCCAGTACAGATACAACTAAAGTCAATGGGAAACCCGATGAAGAAAATGGGGCGCCTCAGGCAGTTAATGGGGAATTTGCTTCTGTTTCATGTTGTGAAGATTCAACTCAGAATAAAGATGCAAATGAAGATCGTGTCTGAGTGATGTTCAGATGAAAACTCGCTAATTAGCACTTTGACTCGCTTTGGTTCGCATCTGAAGTTTCCAGATGGGGACTTGATAAATGTTACCCGTCCATGCCATTTATGCTCATGGTCGAATAAAGATGTTAGTTAGCAGGAAAAAGCAAGTTTGAACTGTTCAGTAAGTTATAAGGCTCGGCCAGCAAACTGAGTATTCACTTTTAGGTGTAAAATTACCATTGCTGTATTGTACATGTTAGATCATACTAAGATGTTTCTTGATATAGAACACAGTGCTTATTTTCTTTTACTGCACAGGCTTTAAGCTATAGTTTGTAGGATTCTGGACTTTGCCATTATGATTCAGGTAAAGAAAAGAACTTGGATGAAACTTGCATCAGAAAGCTGTAATCTGGAGTCTATGTGAAGCTTTTTTCTTTTCTGCAGCTATTTCACTCCCAATTCTATGCAGAAACTATTCGATTATCAACAGCTTTAGCATGTTTGAAACAGTAAATTATATGGCGTAAGGTATACCCGGTGCAATAAGCCTTGTAGTTTTACTTGCAGTGCACTTATGAATGCTGATTTACCCACTATTAGAATACAAGTCATGTCTATCAGTTAATTATAAATATCTCAGCACTTATGAATGCTGATTTACCCACTATTAGAATACAAGTCATGTCTATCACTTAAATATCAATATCTCATAACCCCTCGGTAACATGCACGTTGTAAATGGTATGCTAATAAGCTTTGAATGGTATTTCAATAAAGAAAAAAATAGAAAATTAATAAAGAAAAAGAGAAACTAAAGACTTCAGCCTCCTGGCCTCTAGGGTTTCTAAACAAATGAGTCGCTCGTGAGTTTGGTTTGATTCGTTTATCGAGCTCGGTCTCACTTAAAGATCATTTCGTTAACAAGTCGGGCTCAACTTGACTCTCGAAAAGAAAACTTTTATATAATTTTTTGTACTTTGGCTCGTTAAAAATCGAGATTGGCTTGTTAAAGTTCGAATTCGACTTGTTATATTGATACACGAGTCGAGCTCAAACTCGATTTATGGCTTGTTTACTGAACAACTCGAGTTAGGGCTCGGGCTCGAGCTCGAACAGTCTGTCCGCAGCCCATCGCTCTGTTCCCAGGGTTGTCTTGTGTTAATGGCATTCCCCACCACTTTTGTCGCAGACCCTTATCCCATGGTCCTCATTTTAAGTTCAAGATGGAAGAGCTTTCCTTTATGGACTCCTCTCTCCTAAGGGAGGTTTCAATTGTGTCTGACGTGGTGGAGGACGACGGCCTACTATGCTCTGGGTGTTGATATTATACCTTGATGATCTCACTTGATGAAGAAATTACTCGTTCGTTCTTCTCGGATCTGCTTAGCCGAGTCGTTCCAAAATTTTGAAGTTTTCAAATCTGCAAATCTTGTTTAAAAATTTTTTGTCGACTCTGAGACCTTTCCAATTTCCGTTGATGGAGATCATCTAAACCGCTCGTCGATGTTCGTCCTGTTGTGATTGCCTCGTCGCGTCTTTCGGTGTCCGAGTCGCGTTGCGCATTGCGTTTGGCCTTGCCAAATCATTGTCGGTTGCACCACGTCACACGGGGCTGCCGAACCATGGTCGGGCCACTGCCGGGTTGCTACTGGGTCGTTGCGGGTCGCCTGGGTCGCTAGAAGGTCACCTGGTGCGGCTGGGGTGCGCTGGTGCGTGGGGCTGTTCGGTTGTGCCCGCCAGTGTACGCTGTTGTCCGGGTCTCCTCGGGTCTGCTCGCAGACGCTTGACATCACGCGGGTTGCATTGGGTCGCACGAGGAATTTGCGGGTCTCACTGTCTGCGTGCACGGGACTGCGCTGGGAACGCCGCGTGAGGCTGCACGTGACTGGGACGGGGCTGCACGGGTCTGTGCAGGCTGCGAACGGCGTGGGACGGGCCTAGACACGGCAGAGCACGGCGGTCTGCGGCTGGGCCTGCCAAGGTCGCCGAACTTCCAGGAATTTCGTTAGTCGTTGTCGGATTATCACCGGCGGCTACATGGCTGTGTCCATATATATTAAGGGGTTGGGTATATATTTATCCACCTCGGTGTACCTCAAATCTTATGTTGCATGACCCGACATCTTCTTCGTTCATTTTGGTGGGCGACAATCGGAGGTATCTCTACTGAGATTTATAAGAGAAGAAGAGAAGAGAAGACATGAGGGAGTTAGCTTCAATATGTAAATACGTGTCTCATATCTCAATCCCTTAATCCCTCATCCCAAGAGAAGTGATATATTTATAGGCTACAACAAGGACTTTAAAACAGAGACGAACGCAAACTCGCAAGACAGAGGGGGCACAAATATAACTTTTACAAAGTGGCAAAAAAAAAGATATTTATTTTGTTCTTATATAATATATCACTCATAATTACATAAATTCAAATATAATTACATATATCTTTTTTAAATACCAACATTTTTTTTTTTTTCTTTTGCATTAGATATATTCTTACAACGTCATATTCGTGGACTTCTTTATAATAAGCCTTGTAGTTTTAATTGCAGTGCACTTATGAATGCTGATTTACCCACTATTAAAATACAAGTCATGTCTATCACTTAAATATCAATATCTCATAATCCCTCGGTAACATGCACGTTGTAAATGGTAGGTTAATAAGTTTTGAAATGATATTTCAATAAAGAAAAAAGAGAAATAATTAAGAAAAAGATAAACTAAAGACTTCAGCCTCCCGACATCTAGAGTTGCTAAACGAAATGAGTCGCTCGTGAGTTTGGTTTGGTTCACTTATCGAGCTCGGTCTCACTTAAAGAGCGTTTCATAAACAAGTCGGGCTCAACTTGACTCTCGAAAAGAAAATTTTTATATAATTTTTTGTACTTTGACTTGTTAAAAATCGAGATTGGCTTACTAAGGCTCGAACTCGGCTTGTTATATTGATATACGAGTCGAGCTCGAGCTCAATTTATGGCTTGTTTACTTAACAACTCAAGTCAGGGCTTAGGCTCGAGCTCGAGCTCAGCTCGTTTAACAGCCTATCCGCAGCCTATCGCTCTGTTCCTAGGGTTGTCTTGTATTAGTGGCATTCCCCACCACTTTAGTCGCGAACCCTTATCCCATGGTCCTGATTTTAAGTTCAAGATGGAAGAGCTCTCGCTTATGGGCTCCTCTCTCCTAAGGGAGGTTTCAATTGAGTCTGACGTGGTGGAGGAGACGACGGCCTACTATCCACTAGGTGTTGATGTTATACCTTGATGATCTCACTTGATGAAGGAATTACTCGTTCATTCTTCTCAGATCTGCTTAGTCGAGTCATTCCAAAATTTTGAAGTTTTCAAATCTGCAAATCTTGTTTAAAATTTATTTGCCGACTTAGAGACCTTTCTGATTTCCATTGATGGAGATCTGAACCGCTCGTCGATGTTCGTCCTGTTGTAATTGCCTCGTCGTGTCTCTCTGTGTCCGAGTCACGTTTCGCATCACGTTGGGCCTTGTCGAATCGTTGTCGGTTGCACCACATTGCACGGGGTTGCCGAACCATGGTCGGGCCACTGCCGCGTTGCTACTAGGTCGTTGCGGTTCGTCTGGTCGCTGGCAGGTCACTTGATGCGACTGGGGTGTGCTGGTGCGTGGGGTTGCTCGGTTGTGCCTGTCAGTGCATGCTGCTACTCGGGTCTGCTCGCGGACGCTGGACATCACGCGGGTTGCATTGGGTCGCACGAGGAATTTGCAGGTCTCGCTGTCTACGTGCACGGGACTGCGCAGGGAACGCCGCGTGAGGCTGCACGTGACTAGGACGAGGCTGCACGGGTCTGTGCGGACTGCGAGGGGCCTGGGACGGGCCTGGACGTGGCTGAGCACGACGGTCCGCATTGTCGTATGATCGTTGTCGGATGATCGCCGGCAGCTACAGGGCTATGTATGTGTGTGTGTGTGTGTGTGTGCATATATATATATATATATATATATATATATATATATATATATATTACGGGGTTGAATATATATATATATATATATATTTATCCACCTCGGTGTACCTCAAATTTTCTGTTGTATGACCCATCTTCTACGTTCCTCTTGGTGAGCGACAATCTCGGAGATATCTCTATTGAGATTTCTAAGAGAAGAAAAGAAGAGAAGACATGAGGGGGCTGCGGCTTCAATATGTAAATCTGTGTCTCACATCTCAATCCCTTAATCCCTCATCCCAAGAGAAGTGATGTATTTATAGGCTACAATAGGGACCTTAAGGCAGGGGCCGACGCAGAATCGCAAGACAGAGGGGGCACAAACGTAACATTTACAAAGTAGCAAAAAAATGATATTTATTATGTTCTTATATATTATATCACTCATAATTATATAAATTCAAATCTAATTAAAAATATCTTTTCCAAATACCAACAATTTTTTTTTTCTTTTGCATTGGATATTCTTACAATGTCGCATTCGTGGACTTCTTTATAATAAAAATAAATATTTTAGTAGTTAATATCAATGACAAACACAATTTAGTAGCTAATTTTAAACTTATAATTATAACTTTTAGAACACCTAAAATTCAATATGTATCAAAATCAATGTTGACTTTTGTGGAAAATTGATGTCACTCATTTATCTATGTTGCCTACAACATAATACAAATACAAAATGCAAACAACATAAATATTAAGAAAATCTCTTTGTAATTACTGTACAATATAATTCTATATGTACTATTTTGTTTTTAAAAATTGCACAGGGACCCGTGCCCCTTAAAGAGATGTTATAAATATTAGCTTCCCGAATTTAGGCCTAACTGTAGGCCAAACCACTCCTCTCAAATTTGAATGTTTTCTCAATCCACTAAAGAAATATTATTGCACTCCCCATTTAGCGCCCAAATTACATTTGAGTTCTAATAATAATTACCCAATTTATCTTCTTGTGTTTAAGATATAATATTCGACAATTAATTTAGTTACTGACATTATAATTAATTGACTCCTTGAACCGAGAATAGTACCACACAAATCTTTATTATTAAGTTGGGATAAATTTCACTAGCCATGATTGACATAATAATCTTTCATGAGCTCATCTCGGGGGCATCATCAAGCTATCGCATCCGGTGACCGTAAATATTCGAACAATACTCCATACACACAACACTACTACCCAAAACACGAAGACTATTGACCATGATGAATGAATATATTTTTTGGTGAATCAAAATAACAGCTACTGTATGCACGTGCACGTTTATATCTTACGGGTTAAGAGTACGCAGTAATTACCCGAGGCCTAGTTCATTTACGACGATCAATATAAAACGAACTGTTCCTCTTTGAGATCCATTCAATGCACACAATGCACTAGTGTAACTAATCAGTCAAGAAAAAGTGTACGGTTAACACTACAACCGTTTATGATGGGTTGTTCATTTCTCTCTAGGTCGTGAAGTAAATATTCATGTTTTACAAGTAACAGGTATGTGATCTTCTGTCTCATCTGTGATGGACTACAATATCTAAATATAAACATCAGAAAGTAGATAATTCTCATTCAAACGCGAATAGTGTAAATAACATCTAAAGCTAAGCTTTCTGTATATGCACGAAAAAATAGATCTCTGAAACTTATTTTAAAAAAACACCCATCTCAAATTAGATTTGTCCAACATAAGTGGGGATTAGATTTGGGCGTGCTCGCGGTGTCGACTTCTGACACAGTTGAAGGTAGGACGGTACAGGTCGGGATAGAGGGACCGTGGAGGTCTGATGCGACCTCATGGTGGGCGTGTACAGTGGCAGAGGCGGCGACCAGTAGAGATGCGATGGGTGTGATTTTCCACGGGTTACCGACAACGTGCGACGTGGACGACCAGGTCGGCGTCCATGGCCTGACGTTTGTTCTGAGGACTAATATTGGTTGGTCGTAGACGATGATATAGGACGCCGGCGGCGAGGCTTCTGGTGGGACTGTGTCTGCGCGCGACCATGGAGGTCTCAACAAGACAGACGACGTCATGGCTGAAGGAGGCTGTCAGAACTGGTTGCTGGCAAGAGTTGTGCAGACGACCCAAACTGGTTGTTGCTAGATGCCGACAACGGGCTGCTTGCGACTTGCGAGGAGCAAGCTGTGCGACCGGCGGTGTGACAGAATGGTGGAAGACAATGGGAAGGGAGAGAGAGAGTGGGTGTGGGTGATGGGTAGGGTGGGTCAAGAGCCGACTCTTGGGAAGGCAAACTAGGCCCATGCCTAGGGTTTCCATTTATTTGGGGCCTAATTTTTTTTTAATAGTATGTATTTGTGTTGATTTTGGTCAATTTACACAATTTCATTTATTTAGGGCCTCATTCTTTTTAGTATTATGTATTTTTGTTGGACTTGGCCTATTTAAAAATAAAGGAATTAATGTCCAACTAGGGACTTGGTCCGTTACACAAATGAATGGGCTAATTAATGAAGGGGCAAATGACAAAATATGTAGTTCGTTTGGGAATTTAAGGTCTTAAATATTTTATTTGTTTTGTTATGATGTTCGGTCAGAACAAGTTGTGTGAGAATAAATATTCTTTGTAGTGATATGATTTTTATTTTCTTCTCATTGGTGTCCCCGTGACTGCTTGAATGTAATTTATTAAAAATACTTGTAACTCATAAGTAATTTATCAGTTCCAAGGTCTAGAAAAATAAGAAAAACCTTTTTTTTTTTCATTTATTTATTTAATAGTCTTGTTTAATTAGTTTTTTTTCTTCTATGATTCTATATACAAATAGCCCTAATTACCACGCAAGTTTAAATTGAAAAATTCAAAAATGAAAAACTTATCTGGGGCCTCCAAACTTTTGGAGACGTCCCTGGGTGGGTCCCACGGGTAGGGTGAATGGGTGGTTGTGTGAGGGTATTTATTTCTTGTGGTACGATATTCTTATCTATTTTATTGAGAACCACTCTTACTGGAAACTATATATATAAAGTAGCAGGAAAAAAAATGCAGTCACGTTAATCGGTTGTATTCTCTCTTTTTGGGGCTTTTAGTTTTTTTTTTTTTTTTTTTTATGGTGTTTTGGAGACGAGCTTTCTGTTTCAGTGCTCTTGTCGCTGCCAGAACTTTACTCCTTTTCCTCGTTTTTTAGTTTTAGGGCACTACTATTAGTGCACCTCCCAGATTCCACCATTTGGTGGTTTCTATATGGATACTTAGAGAATCTCCAATGCTCAATGTTGTAGTGCTAAATTACATTCCACATCAATAAATTTATTAATGTCACAACTTTTCACCCTCCAATGTACAATATGATCACAAATGTTGTGATGAAGTGGACATAATTAATGTCTACAATGTAGAGAAGAATGAGGTTCATCCACATTCTCCTCCACACTCTAGCTAGCCAATGAAGAGAAGAGAGAGAATTATGATTACCATTTTTAAACTATTTAATTATTTAATTAATTCTATTAATTCATATTAAAATTTTAATATTTTGTAAGTAGATAATATTGTATTAGACTACATTGTGCATTGAAGTTGATTTTTTAATTTAATAGTTGTGAACTCAACATTTGTCCTACATGGTTCACAATCTATTTAATTTTTTGACATTTGTCAAAATTTATAATACAACAACATTAGAGTATTGGAGATGCTCTTAGCCCCCGGTCTTTATCTTGTAATCAGCCTTTTGNCCAAAAAAAAAAAAAAAAAATGGGTTGCAAACTAAATTAAAAAGCGCTGAACGCTACTGACGCTTTTGAGCAGAAATAAATACCCTCACGTCAACTCCCCGCCGGGCACCACCAATCGTCGCCGCCGCTGCGCTGCTTCCCTCCCACCATTTCCTCCACGTATGGAACTCTCAATTGCGCAGCGTTCAGTCAACAACACGTTTTGGTCTCAATCGCGCCTCTTCAACTCACCGGTTCATCTCTCGCCGCGCGTTTTCCTCTCTGTACACCTCCAGCAGCGCAAGGTACATTTGTTCTCCCAGTACCTCACAGCCCCTCGAATGAAGTCCACGGTACCTCATGCGGTCGGTAACAATGGTTCTCCGTCGATAGCCATAGCTCACGGTAATCCATGTGAACTTTCTTTTTTCTCTCTCCTTTTCTTTATTCATTTTTGTTGTTTTGGCCTGTCTTTGGTAATTGTCTGCAACTGCAGGCGGAAGAATCGGAGAGGTGAAGAGGGTTACCAAAGAGACGAATGTCAATGTGAAGATCAATCTGGATGGCAGCGCCATAGCTGAAAATAATACGGGCATTCCGTTTCTCGATCACATGTTGGATGTTAGTTTTTCATTTACGTTTGTGCAATTTTATTTATTTATTTTGTCAATTTAGGACTGGTGATTTTATAATTTTTTTTGAGTAATGGAATATATAATTGAACTTCTATTGTAACTGTTACTCAGTACCTATGAGTACAAAAGCTACCAAGGGGGTGGATGGGTAGTGATTATCCTGTTCATTAGTAATTCACTTATTATAGGTGTTACTTTAACTGGAAACAACAGTAATTAGGCCAACACTAGGAGTGTAGTTTAATTTTTCTGCTTCGATGAAAGTATAAAGAGTTGTTTGGCACTAATAAACGTGTCGTGTATTGTCAATCAAACATGAATATGATCGTTGTTTACTTGTTTATAATTATATGTTTAATTCAAATGAGTTAAAATGCTGAATGTTGTTGTTTTATTATCTGTTACAGCAACTTGCTTCGCATGGTTTATTTGACGTACATGTAAAAGCCACTGGGGATATTCATATTGATGATCACCATACTAATGAAGATGTCGCACTGGCAATTGGAACTGTAAGTTTCCAAGTATCAGAATTCTATTTATTATTGTGACCTTCTGAAATATTTTTTGACAACATTATTTTCTCTATGCTGCTATCACGCATTGTTTGCACGTATTCTTAAAATCCTTTCTCTAGTTTGCTCCACAACTCTGTTGAAGAGATGTTACTATTAGACATGTAACTGGCCACGTGGATCTTATTTGTTTTAAACAAGTCTGCCATATCCAAGTCTCCTTTGCTTGCAATAAGAGATGAATTGTAACCTTTCTGAATAGAGGTTGTAGCCTTCCATTGTATGTTTGTTACATGCTTTTCTGATGTTAAACGTGGGCCAAAAAAAATAAACCTTAAGCATGTTTTACCCGCTTTTT